TTTGTTGTTCATAGTACGAGAACAGAAGTGAAAATTTATCGTCATACCAAACACTTATCAAAAGTGGTATATATTAAAAATAGTGAGACGAGATATAACACTTAATAAGTAAATATTGAATAACAAAAATGCAATAAAAATTGTATCAACAGGTCAAATTAACACGAAAGTACGATTTGAGAGTACTCGCAGTTACTGAAAGCTAGTTAAAAGCCAAAAACAATTAATAATAAAAAATCATGCATGAGAGACTAAAATCAACTAAAACACATCCCAGGGATTTAGTGTTTTAACGTCATGGACAGTCAAAGAAGACATGACTTGTGCAATGCCAAAATTAAAAGTATCGACAGGCAGTAGGATAGTTAGGAGTTAACCTTTTAATAAATATGTATAATGTTATATATAGATAGAGTAATCTCTATATAGAAAATGAACCTGGATGTATACATCCCAAAAAAACGTTTGAAAAGAATACAAATTTAGTTATGTCATGTACAATGTATGTTTTAATTTGCTGATGACAAAATCGATATTTGTGCCAATGTAAACTATATTCAAAGATCTAATTACAACATTGGTAAGATAACCTTTACTAATAAGTTTGTTTAAAGGTTCGATGAGTTTACACGGATCACATAGTGATTTCCGCGCTTTTAGTACAATATTACCGTAAAATTTCAGATGTGAAATACTGTTTTTATACACCCGTTTACGGGACGTATTATGGTATACCGTTGTACGTCCGTCTGTCCGTCCGTCTGTCCGTCCGTCCGTCGTCAACATGTCGGACATTAACTCAAAAACGCTTTAACCAATTTGCTTAAAACTTTGGTGAATTGTGTGTTATATCTATAGACGTGAGCTCCCTTTTGTTTTTTATAAATTTTAGATTTCACGTTTCCGAGTTATGGGGTTTTATTCATAAAAAAAGGGGGATTTTCCAGTTTTCGGACAATAACTCAAGAATGCTTTCACCAACTTGCAAGAAATTTTGGTGAATTGTTTATATCTATTGACATGAGCTCCCTTTGGATTTTTATAAATTTTAGATTTTACGTTTCCGAGTTATGGGGTTTTATTCATAAAAAAAAGGGGGATTTTCCAGTTTTCGGACCATAACTCAAAAATGCTTTCAGCAGTTCTCATGAAACTTTGATGAATTGTTGATATCTATTGATGTAAGCTCCCTTTAGAATTTAATAAATTTTAGATTTTACATTTCCGAATTATGGGGTTTATTCATTAAAAAAGGGGGGATTTTCCAGTTTTCAGACAAAAACTCAAAAATGCTTTCAACAATTCGTATGAAACTTTGGTGAACTGTTTATATCTATTGATGTAAGCTCCCTTTAGAATTTTATAAATTTACTTGTTTATAGTCTGACAACAGATTTACTAAGTATTGCGCAACAGCACAGTGTATTGCACAACAGCAAGAAATCTTTAATTGAATATAAATTCAATTCATATAACCAACTTCAAGTTCTTTGACTACATTAATTCAGAAACCTATAATAGATGTATGTCAAATATTTAATTACAATCAGAGTTCGCGAAAACTTATTTTGACCTGTCGGTCATGGGACCGACAAAGCATGATTATTTGTCAGTCCTACAAAATTTTAGCCAGTCCTACAAAATCTGTCAATTTTATCCTGAAATAAAATTAATAACATATTTTATCGAAAAATAACTTTATTAATATTAGTTTTATTCTTCGCACCCACAAGGCAAATTAACAATGAAGGACCAGTTCAGGTCTTCTGATTGTTCTTATTTAAAGTCATCTTCACTATCCATTTCATCATCTGAATCACTTTCTCGGCTGTTACAATATTTGTTTGCTCCATTTAGGGTTCAATAGCCGATTGTTTGCCAGGGATGGCTCTATGAACAAATTTAGTAGGCCACGTGTAGATCGCCGCTTTGGTTTGTTTATAATAAATCCGTAAACCAGTACCGGAAATTGGCAGCGGGTACATCTGATAACCGACCGATGTAAACACTTATTGGAAACAGTTGCGGTACATCTAATAACCGATGTAAAAAAGTGCTGAAATATGCACTACAACGGCCGTTTTTACATCGGTCATCAGGACCGGCACTAGCCTTCAAAATACTGGTCCGAGCCTCATTTTGACCGACAGGACCGACAGGACCGACCATTTTCGTGAACTCTGTACAATCCAAATTCAGACCTGTATCAAGCTTGAATATTGTGTCCATTTTTGCCCCAACTGTTCAGGGTTAAACCTCTGCGGGCGTATCCAGCTGCGCTCAGCGAAGCAGTTTTTTAATAAGTTTTCTACAGGTACAGCCAAATTTACTAATCAAATCTTTGTATCTATGAATGAATTTAGTAAAAGTTTAAGTAATTTATGGTAACGAAATCCCTGACTTAATAATTTACCAGTGATGCATTGATTACGTTCGTTAAAATCTATGACATCACTTCACACAGGGGCATAACGAACGAGTTGGGATATATAAACACCGTATGATGGAGCCAAAGGAACATCGCCGTCTAAAAAAGGAAAATTAACAATAGGGAATGAAAAATCGTCTCTTTTGTCGTAAATTTTAGTATGGAGTTTCCCTTTAGAAATTGAAATGTCTAAATCTAGAAAAGGACAACTACTGCTGTTTATGTTAGATTTATTTAAAGTAAGTTCCTTTGGCTTTGGGTAAATTTCGGTAGTATATAAGTAAGTTTAAATATCTTGAATACAGTTTCACTCTCTTTCATTGCCAAGATCAAAATGAATAAATATATTTGTTCTTTAAATTATTTTTAATAGGAATTCAGAGAGAAAAAAAACTTTTTGTCACTTGTTGAAAATGTCTAGTAAAACTCTGTCAATATCAAATCGTGTGCGATTGTTTGCGGTATTTTCATGGAAACGGCAGTTTTCCATCATCATGAATACATATGATAGAAAAGATGTTAAAACATTTTTACTTGGTCATGGTATTTTGAACCCCGGCTCCTACCATGGAAATTGAATGCTCTCTATAGACCTAAGATTTTCAAATTGTCATAGCTATATTCGAACTAGTTTATATAGTAATGATGCTTTAATACATATTTGGAAGGAATATAACATAATAGAAAAGACATTATTATAAGTTATCTACGTTCATATCCGTAGATATGGATATTTTAACACCCTGAAGTATCCAAGTACACCTTGAGGCGAAGCCGAAGGGTGTACAGGGTACTGAAGGGTGTTAAAATATCCATATCTACGGATATGCACGTAGATAACGAATTTATCCCCGGTCTTAGTCCAAATATGTCGATTTTTAGAGAAATTCGACCACAAAGTGTAACGTGAAAGCAACGTTTTTTTCATTTTCTAAAAATCTTTTATTGAAATTTGGGAATTTGACGTATCTTTTACGGGGTGTAGGGTACTACCTGTGGTAGAACCCTACAGGTATTCAAATATAAGACGTTTTTAATACGGAGACAGAGAAACTGGTGTGGGTCGAATTTGGCGCTCAATGTTGTGAGAGTTACATCATAGACGGTGTGACGTTAACGTGGGTCATTTGCATAACTAGGTCAGTAGTCCCATTCATAGACAATGTGGCAGCCAAGTGATGCATTTACTAAAATGAGTGCAAATGATCGACAAAATAAGATAACATAGTAAGTGGATTAAATATTTAATTACAAACATCATGAATAATCTACAGAATTCTATATTTCACAAAGAACAACCATGGAATTAAGGAAAACGCGCGTGACGTCCCCCGGGGTAATGGATAGCAACGTCCGGGTATATGGGTTAGCAACGCCCAGGGGCTATGGGTTTTGTAACGACGTGCGTTATCCAATCAAAATCCTAGAAATATACTAAGCCGGGGATAATTGTTTTTACACAAGGTATGGTATTTTGGACCCCTAGCATGGAAAATTGAACCCCCCCCCCCCCCCCCCCCCCCCCTATAGACTTCAGATTTCTAAATTGTCATAGTATTATAACTAAGTTATATGATAGTAATGCATTAATAAGTATTTGGTCCGAATAAAACATGTAAGAAAATATTTTTTTAACATTTTTACTTAGCCATTGTATTTTGAACCCCCTACCATGAAAAATTGAACCTAGGGATTAGCTATGACAATTTGAAAAATAGACCTCATATTTTCAAATTGTCATAGCTATCCAAACTACATTATATAGTAATAATGCTTAAATAAGTATTGGGTAGGGAAAAAAACATGGTATTTTGAACCCCCTATAGACCTCAGATTTTCAAATTGTCATAGCTATTCAAACTTCTTTATAAAGTAATAATGCTTAACCTAATGTACATTTGTCATTTTACTTCATTTAAAACGAATACAGGATATTCACTGTTCAATATTCCAGGAGGAGGGTCAATTTTGCATCTGGATACATTCTGCTTTTAATGTTATACATGTGCATGTACCTGAATTAGTTTTTGATCTTGAAAACTTAAAAGAATGACCACAATCAGTAAAGCATAGTCATTCCCAAGGTCATTGGACATTGGGCAATGGCCGGTAAAAATTGGTTTGGTCCAGTTACATGTACCTTGTAAGTGATATGCATTACTGAACCAAATGACCAGTAAAATTTTTTATTTTGTCCTGTAAAAAAGTGTCTGGTCCAGTTAAGAAGTATGGTTTACTGGACCAAATGTCCAGTTGATTTCTCAAAGACTTAAGAACCACTGAAAGCAGGTGTAAAAAAATAAGAAGATGTGGTATGATTTCCAATGAGACAACTCTCCACAAGAGACCAAATGACATAGAAATTAACAACTATAGGTCACCATACTGCCTTCAACAATGAGCATACCGCATAGTCAGCTATAAAAGGCACCCAAATGACAAATGTAAAACAATTCAAACAAGAAAACTAACGGCAACCTTTTCAACTCTCTAGTTTCATCTGTAATTCATTTTATGAAAATCAGATTGTATATGATTTAATGTGAGGAAATTTCCTTTAATTCTTTTTCAGATACTCATTACAGATTATTTCCAAGATCTTTGGGTGATGTACTGTCAACTTATAATGTACAAGAATTGCACTTAACACAAGCACAAGGATTTTGGAAACACAACAAGTGGGGGTATCCTCCAGAAGATGCACCACCTGGCGTTGAATTATGGGTGTGGTTCAAACCTGGAACATTGAAGTAAGTAATGACTAAATGTTAAGAATGAAAAATTATGTAATATTTTTATATGACTGCAAATTTTTGCAGTCGTGTAATGCTGTAACAATGTCGGTGCCGTCGTTGTTGTCAATGTCCGAAGACAATTGGTTTCCAGACAATTACTTGAGTATAAGTGTTTTGATCTCTATTACATTGTACCACAAGGTTCCATATGGGTCTGTCTATTTTAAGCCATAACATAAAATGGGACATCATAGTTATATTTTAGAATGTGACACAGGTTGAAAAAAAAAATTGATTCAGAAAGAGGATATACCAACATGACCAAAGCATCCAGAAAAATACAACAGAAGATGGTTTGACCATTATAAAATTGATTTTGGACGCTCTTTTACCAATAAACATTTGTAACATATATATGTGACATGTCAAATATCCATTTCAAAAAATATTAGTTATGAAGTCTTCTTCACTTTGAAAGCAGTGTCAACAATGCTAAGAAAGAAAAGTAGATGTCATTTAAATTGAAACAATTAACCAAATGAAGATGGGGCAATGATTTTTGTTTTGATTTTTTTATAGCATATGTGACCGATATTGACAATTGATTTATTAGTTGTAAAAAAATCCTCCAAAAAGTATTGCCATAAAGTGACAATTCATATTTTACAAATGTAATGGAAATTATATTTGTAACACAGGATTAATTATACCCCACGCAACGAGTTGCGGAGGGTATAATGTTTTTGACCCGTCCGTCTGTCCGTCTGTCTGTCCGTCTGTCTGTCCGTCCATCAGTCCGTCAGTCCTGTTTCTTGTCATCGCAACTCCTCTCAAACCACACAACAGAATTTCACAAAACCTTTTTAGATAATAAGGACATACTATGTAGTTGTGCATATCAACAGGAAATTAAGATTTAATTTTTTTTCTAGGAGTTACGCCCCTTTGAACTTATTTACTTTAATGTACTACTGCAACAGTTTGTCACCTCAACTCCTCTGAAACCACACAACAAAATTTCATGAAACTTTGTAGATAATAAGGACATACTACGTAGATGTGCATATTGACAGGAAATTACGATTCAATTTTTTTTCCAGGAGTTACGCCCCTTTGAACTTATTTGCCCAATATACTACTGCAACCTTTTGTCATCGCAACTCCTCTCAAACCACACAATAGAATTTCATGAAACCTTTTCAGATAATAAGGACATACTACGTAGATGTGCATATCGACAGGAAATTACGATTCAATTTATTTTCTAGGAGTTACGCCCCTTTGAACTTATTTGCTTCAATAAACCCCTGCAACCTTTTGTCATCGCAACTCCTCTCAAACCACACAATAGAATTTCATGAAACCTTTTCAGATAATAAGGACATACTACGTAGATGTGCATATCGACAGGAAATTACGATTCAATAATTTTTCTAGGAGTTACGCCCCTTTGAACTTATTTACTTTAATGTACTACTGCAACAGTTTGTCATCTCAACTCCTCTGAAACCACACAACAAAATTTCATGAAACTTTGTAGATAATAAGGACATACTACGTAGATGTGCATATCGACAGGAAATTATGATTCAATAATTTTTCTAGGAGTTACGCCCCTTTGAACTTATTTACTTTAATGTACTACTGCAACAGTTTGTCATCTCAACTCCTCTGAAACCACACAACAAAACTTCATGAAACTTTGTAGATAATAAGGACATACTACGTAGATGTGCATTTCGACAGGAAATTACGATTCAATTTTTTTTCCAGGAGTTATGCCCCATTGAACTTGTTTGCCCAATATACTACTGCAACCTTTTGTCATCTCAACTCCTCTCAAACCACACAATAGAATTTCATGAAACCTTTTCAGATAATAAGGACATACTACGTAGATGTGCATATCGACAGGAAATTACGATTCAATTTTTTTTTCTAGGAGTTACGCCCCTTTGAACTTATTTGCTTCAATATACCTCTGCAACAGTTTGTCATCGCAACTCCTCTGAAACCACACAACAGAATTTCATGAAACTTTGTAGATAATAAGGACATACTATGTAGATGTGCATATCAACAGGAAATTATGATTCAATTTTTTATTTCTTATACAATTTTTTTTTCTTACAGTTATTTTATTTCTCCAGTGACAATGTGGGGACGTGGGGTATGTGAGCGTGCTCACTAAGGTTCTTTAATGAAATTATGAAGGAAAAAGGAAAAAAAAGCAATTTTTTTCCAACATATGTGACTTGACATTTTGACATCTGGTATAACATATGTGACTTTTTACAACATTTATATTTATCTTATGATTTTTAATCGGATTTTCGAAGGAAAAATCGGTTATTGATTTGGGGATGTACAGCAGATGGGCGGGAGGGCGGCTGCCAAACAGTGTCCATTCATTAACATGCAAACACTTTGACAAATTTTTTTCAAATTTTGATATGTTGTTTCCTGTGACTAAATGAAGGTCAAGTTCAATTTTCACGATTTTAGCTTCTCTCGTTTTTGAGTTTTCGACTTTTTAGAAGTCCAAATATATACTTATTATATGATTGAGTTATTTCCCTTTGAACAAAAATTGTGATTTGCAAATATCATTTTCATTAGATAATAATCTATTTTTATTAAAGGATATATTTCATTACATTACATTGTGTAGATAAAATTGTTGACATTGATAGATAAGTTGCAGATCTATATTAGTTTGTGACAAATGAAAAGAGAAATATTGGGAACTATTAATTATATATATAAAGTTTGATTACACTAAAAATATAAGTGTTTTTAAATAATTTTCACGTGTTAATAGATAACAAAACATCTGGTAAATATCTTATTACACAATTATAATTGGAGTGACAGATTTATTTGAAAATTTTCTGTTTCCTAAGTGTTGAAGATAAGATCTGTAGGACAGTATAAATACAGTTTGAAATTTACTGTTCATTATTAGACATTTTGAAGATAATTACAGATACATTTTATAGATTTTTAATAGATATTGTATTAATGGTAAATGACATTTTGGATTTTTTTTCATCTTTTCTTTTGTAAATTGTTTGAAGAATTTTGTGGTTGGTTTGTTTGTTATTCTGTATAAACTTATTTTCTGAATGCTATATATATTTTTTTTTTGATGAAGCAAACTCCTTAAAAACTAAGCTTAGTTTGTCTATTAATAAATATATATTTAGATTTCTGATTTTGGGCCCAGTTTTCAAGTTGGTCCAAATCGGGGTCCAAAATTATACTGTGTTTGATTTCAACATAAATTGAATATATATAGGGTTCTTTGAAAAGCTGAATCTAAACCTGTATTTATTTTCATTATTAATTAGATAATACCCCATTGAGGTCCAAAGGGTCCTAAATTAAACTTTTGTTTGATTTCATCAACAATTCAAAAATTGAATTCTTGGGGTTCTTTGATATGCTAATGATAACAATGTTATTAGATTTTGGATATTGGACCATAATAGGTAAATTTCTGATTTCGAATTTTTAAGTTCTTTGACCACATTCATTTTGTGTCACAAACCTATACTGTGTCAAATATTCAATCAAAATCCAAATTCAGAGCTATTTTAAGCTTAAATGTTGTGTCCATACTTGCTCAACTGTTCAGGGTTCGACCTCTGCAGGAAAATCCAGTTTGCTGTCACTCTGACAGCCTCTTGTCTAGATTCAATTTAATCGTAAATGCTAATTAATTAAGTTTGGATATTTATCCTAGGATTTATAGTTTCTGCAATTCAATATTAAATGCATTTTTATTATAATCTAGTATTTAATATAACAGTGAGACAATATTTATGATGTTCCACTTCCATTCTGCAGTATAATAAGAGACCCCATTCTGAAATTTGATAAATTATACACAAACAGGACAAATCAATGCAAATGAAACACAATGTACATGATATAAGAATGTGGTAATCGGAGGAGTTTTTTCCTGCTATGAACTAATGTACTTTCAATATTGTCAACAGTGTAAGAACCTAATGGAGAAACACATTCTTGTAGCAAACGTTTTGATCAGTATATAAGAGAGGCGAAAGATACCAAAGGGAGAGTCAAACTCATAAACCGAAAACGAACTGACAGTGACATGGCAAAAAACGAAAGAAGTTCAAAAAACGAAAGAAGTTCAAAAAACGAAAGAAGTTCAAAAAACAAAACAGCAGTCTACAAAACACAACATAAAAGCTAAAGACTAAGCAATACGAAACCAACCAAAAACCGGGGGTGATCTCAGGGGCTTCAAAAGGGTAAGCAGATACTGCTCCACATGTGGTATCCGTTGTGTTGCTCATGTAAGTAGAAACCCGGTGATAAGTCTAATTCGGTAGGTGACATTCATGAAAAAAAGGGTCAGGATTGTGGTAACGACAATTGGAACATAACCATCATCATCTGTGAAACAGATATTCCATAACAGTCAACAAATCATGAGGGTGACTTTACAATTTTCCAAGGGATGATTTCAACTTCACCTTTTGGAACTCTTGCTTTAATAGCTTCCTTGTAAGCAGCAACCCTCTATCAAGGAAATCATGACAGGAAATTCAACGTCTGGAATATCCTATCAACTGGGAGATATGGTCTTCAAATGCAGACGCTACAGGAATGTTGCTACATAGAAATGGAAAGTTCACATTTTAGAAGCTGAAATCATCTTTTTTGTCGTAAAGTTTGTTGCTGTTTATCATATTTTTTTTGTTTATAGTTTTGTACGTAAATCAGGCCGTTGGTTTTTTCATTTGAATTTTTTTTAAACTTATCATTTTGGGGCCCTTTGCAGCTTGCTATGCGATGTGGGCTTTTGTTCTGTGTTGAAGCCATAGGGTGAACTATAATTGCTATTAACTTCAACATCATTTGGTCTCATGTGGAAAGTTTTCATTTTGGCAATCATACCACATCTTATTTTTATATGGCAACAAACGGTCTGTTTAAACAATTTTATTATGCCCCCGCCGTAGCGTACGGGGCATTAAGTTTTACCCTTGTCCGTCTGTACGTCCGTCCGTCCGAACGTCCCAAAGTTGGTTTCCGTTCTCTAACTTTAGTTTGCCTCAACCAAATGTTATGAAACTTGTACAAAATGCTTATTACCACTAAATACAGATCAAGTTTGAATTTTGGTGGCGTCACTTTTAAAGTTCTAGAGTTATGCTCCTACAAATGGAAAAATTGCTAATTTTTTTGTTTCCGTTCTCTAACTTAAGTTTGCCTCAACCAAATGTTATGAAACTTATACACAATGCTTATTACCACAAAACACAGATCAAGTTTGAATTTTGGTGCCGTCACTTTTACTGTTCTAGAGTTATGCCCTTTACAAATGGAAAAATTGTAAAATATTTTTTTTTTTTTTTTTTTTTAAATATCAAGTCATTTTTAAAATTGGAGTTATCTTCCTTTGTCCATGATTATAGTTGAATCAACTACAATCAATGCTTTATACAATGCAATGTTTAAATTTGCCTTCCACTGATAAATTAAAGCAAATTTTTACCCTTCATTTCTAAAAATATTTTAAAGTCTTCTTTGAAAATTGGAGTTATCTTTCTTTGTGCATAATGGTAGTTGAATCAACTACAACCAATGCTTTATACAATGCAATATTCAATTTTACTTCCTACTGATAAATTAAAGCAATCTTTACCATTCAGTGCTTACAAGCACTTTGATTACCGTTCTAGGGTTATGCCCCTTTACAAATGAAAAAATTGCTGAATTTTTCATTTCCGTTCTCTAATTTGAGTTTGTCTTAACTAAATGTAATTTCTAAAAATATCAATGTCATTATTCAAGTAATTTTTAAAATTGGAGTTATCTTCCTTTGTCCATGATTATAGTTGAATCAACTACAATCAATGCTTTATACAATGCAATGTTTAATTTTGCCTTCCACTGATAAAAAACAGATCAAGTTGAATTTTGGTAGTGTCACTTTAACCATTAATGAGTTATGCCCCTTTATAAATTGAAAGATTGCAAAATTTTAAGTTTCCATTCTGTAACTTAAGTTTGCCCCAACCAAACATTATGAAACCTATACACAATATTCATTACCTCAAAACTAAGATAATGTACAATTTTTTGTTTCCGTTCTCGAACTTTAGTTTGCCTCGACCAAATGTTATGAAACTTATACACAATGCTTATTACTACATAATACAGATTAAGTACGAAATTTGGTGGCTTCACTTTTACCATTCTTGAGTTATGTCCCTTTATAAACACAAAATTTGCTGAATTTTTTGTTTCCGTTCTCTAACTTTAGTTTGTCCCAACCAAATGTTATAAAACTGAAACACAACCGTTCTAGAGCTATGCGTGTTTACAAATAGAAAAATTGCTGAATTTTTAGTTTCTGTTCTCTACTTAAGTTAGCCTCAACCAAATGTTATGAGACTTACACACAATGCTTATTACCACAAAACTCAGATCAAGTTCAAATTTAGGTAGCGTCACTTTTACCGTTCTTCAGTTATGTCCCTTTATAACTATATGATATGCAAAAGGGGGCATCATCTGTGTCCACATGTGGACACAATCCACATTTATTTTATCAATAACATGTGTGATTATTGACATCACATATGTGCATTGCTTCTAGTTACATGAATAAAGTTGAAAACAAAGTCAAGATTCAATAAAGTTTTTTTATACACCCGTTTACTGGACGTATTATGGTATACCGTTGACCGTCTGTCCGTTCGTCCGTCGTCAACATGTCGGACATTAACTCAAAAACGCTTTAACCAATATGCATGAAACTTGGGTGAATTGTTTATATCTATTGACGTGAGGTCCCTTTCGTTTTTTATAAATTTCAGATTTACCGTTTCTGAGTTTTGGGGTTTTATTCATTAAAAAAGGGGCGATCTTCCTGGCAGTTTTCCGACAATAACTCAAGAATGCTTTCACCAACTTGCAAGAAATTTTGGTGAATTGTTAATATCTATTGACATGAGCTCCCTTTCGATTTTTATAAATTTTAGATTTTACGTTTCCGAGTTACAGGGTTTTATTCATAAAAAAAGGGTGATTTTCCAGTTTTCGGACAATAAATAAAAAATGCTTTCAGCAGTTCTCATGAAACTTTGGTGAATTGATTATATCTGTTGATGTAAGCTCCCTTTAGAATTTTATAAATTTTAGATTTTACATTTCTCAGTTATGGGGTTTTATTCATAAAAAAAGGGGGATTTTCTAGTTTTTAGACAATAACTCAAAAATGCTTTCAGCAGTTCTCATAAAACTTTGGTGAATTATTTATAGCTATTGATGTTATCTCCCTATTGATTTTCATAAATATCAAAATGACATTGAGAAGAAATTGAACTTTATTTGTTTATAGTCTGACAACAGATTTACTAAGTATTGCGCAACAGCACAGTGTATTGCACAACAGCAAGAAATCTTTAATTGAATATAAATTCAATTCATATAACCAATTTCAAGTTCTTTGACTACATTTATTCAGAAACCTATAATATGTCAAATATTTAATTACAATCCAAATTCAGACCTGTATCAAGCTTGAATATTGTGCAGAGTTTGCGAAAACTTATTTTGACCCGTCGGTCATGGGACGGACAAAGCATGATTATTTGTCAGTCCTACAAAATTTTAGCCAGTCCTACAAAATCTGTCAATTTTATCCTGAAATAAAATTAATAACATATTTTAATCGAAAAATAACTTTATTAATATTAGTTTTATTCTTCGCACCCACAAGGCAAATTAACAATGAAGGACCAGTTCAGGTCTTCTGATTGTTCTTATTTAAAGTCATCTTCACTATCCATTTCATCATCTGAATCACTTTCTCGGCTGTTACAATATTTGTTTGCTCCATTTAGGGTTCAATAGCCGATTGTTTGCCAGGGATGGCTCTATGAACAAATTTAGTAGGCCACGTGTAGATCGCCGCTTTGGTTTGTTTATAATAAATCCGTAAACCAGTACCGGAAATTGGCAGCGGGTACATCTGATAACCGACCGATGTAAACACTTATTGGAAACAGTTGTGGTACATCTAATAACCGATGTAAAAAAGTGCTGAAATATGCACTACAACTGCCATTTTTACATCGGTCATCAGGACCGGCACTAGCCTTCAAAATACTGGTCCGAGCCTCATTTTGACCGACAGGACCGACAGGACCGACCATTTTCGTGAACTCTGATTGTGTCCATTTTTGCCCCAACTGTTCAGGACGGGACCTCTGCGGGCGTATCCAGCTGCGCTCAGCGAAGCAGTTTATTATTTTAATTTATGAACCAAAGAAATAAATATTTCTATTTGTAAGTACCATCGGGATATGATAAACTTCATATGTTCATACATGATTGTTGACAGCACCAGACTGTAGCGTATCCCCAAAATAGTAATTAGAAAATACTTATAAAAAAAGTACCAATAAAAAAAGTACCAGCTTATGTACTAAAAGATAATTTATCTAGTCAGTCCCTTTTCCACCTCTTATTAATTATCATTTCTTTATTTCTCTTAAATATTTTTCCATATAAGAACAGCTGTACTGACAATATTTTTGAAAGTTATTGCTATAATTTACTTTTAGTTGAATGCAGTGATAAAAGTAGAATTTTTTTTTATTACTAACATATAAAGGCCATTTAATCACACTCATATGCCAATGTACATTGTATACATAGTTTAGGAATGTATGTCTGTGAATCAGGAGACATGAAGGGAATCCAAAAAAAAAAAAACCTTACAAGCAATACATTATTTTCCCTTGAGACACTATTCTGTTCTCTATTTATATTATTTTAAGTGTTTACTTGAAACCAGTATTTCTTTGTCAGGTATATATTTATATATGAATCAAAACAGACCAAAAGATCTCATTTTATTACAATTACAAGGTCCCTAGCACTGTAGATCACAGTTAAAGAACACAGTATTGGGATAATAATAAAAAATACAGACTATTACAGACAAAGAAATTTTACAAATACTCTCAATAACTGCTTGCAAATTTCATCACAAAATATAGAAGAGCTAGAAGATATTCACTAGACATATCAAGTTATTACATAACTTTGCAGGAAATAACTTATGATTGATCGATTGCTGCCTGGCAATTATTTTATGATATCCAGGACAGTTACAAAACATCAATACCATAAGTAGGTTCTGCAAATTAATTCGGCAAGGACAGTTGAAAGGCAGGAAATTTAGACTGCCACCGTGAAAAAGGGTGTGTTGGATATATATAGGGGCAGAAAGTTTGCCTCCAATCTCCTGCCACCTACAGACCACTCAAAGAGTTGTTGGAAGGTTTCTTTAACATGCAGAGATTATTGCAGTTGCCCTACATGAGGCATAAGATTTGATGTCTCTTTTCTGAAAAATTATAATATTTTCCCAAAATTATAATATGCAGAACATATTGTGACTTAATTCCTGGTGTCAAAATTTATGAAATTTGCTATCCTGTAAACATTTATCACTTTGTTTGCATTGGTATTAACAATCTTTATCTTTGCGTCACTGCTGAATTGTTAGTTTTCTAATTTCTTCTAGTATCCTTATTTTATCTAAGATTATGTAATAATAATTTTAATTAATTACATCTAATATTATCATAATGATGTATCAGAATAAAAAGTAACCCTTAATTGGCACAAAACCAACATTCATGTACATTCTTGATTGTGAATTAAAGACTTAGGTTCTAAAATAAGATTTACCATGTGAAACATTTATTTCTCCGTCTTTCAGCATAGACAAACAATGGTCAGATCTTGTAAATGCTCTTGGTGGTCTGTTTTGTTCATCTCTTAATTTTATGGATTGGAAATCTACTGTGAGTCCCCACTGGTCCTTTAGACCCCAAGGTGTGGCCACTAAAAGTTATCATATGAAGTCAATGTATCTGAGATATTCAGCTTTACCCAAAGAGATAGTATGTACAGAAAATCTAACACCATGGAGAAAATTATTGCCTTGTGATAAGGTAAGAGTTTAAAGCATGACATATAGACCTGTATTGTAGCCTTACACTTCAAATGGGCTGGTGGTTGTTTTTTTTTGGCCCCGCCACTTTTTCACATAGTTTTACCCTTATCTGCCATTCCGTCATTCCACAACGAACAATATTTAATATACAGACTTTTTTTCTAAACACCTTCACATATTGAGCTGATTTTTAGTATGTGAGTCTATTATGATGAGTTACAGATCTGGTTTATGTTTGGTTCTGCTCCGCTGATTTTTGCCGAAATTACGGGCTTTAGACTTTGAAAACGTCTTGAAAATAACAGTTATACAGACTTTCACTCTAAAATTTCCACTCCTAAAACTGGCTTCAAGCTTTTATTGCGAGCGGGGCCATTAGTGTTGTTCCAACACATCTAGTTTCATAACATATGTTGTCTTTTGTCTGTAAATTTTTTTAAAGTATCTTCTCCTTTGAAACCACTTGGCCAATTAAAACCAACTTGATATTTATCATCTTTAAAAGGGGATTGACTGCCAGATGCATTACCACAGCACCGAAATTGACTCAAACTCTTTCACCTTGAAGGGTAATTTTTACTATTTTTTTGTGTTAAATAGAGAGAAAATTTAAAAAAATTTAAAAGCAAAAATGATCAGCAAAATAAGATTTACAAATCAGTTAACATGACATAAATAGTGAGCTGACCCCTTATAGGAGTTAACTGCCTCGATGGTGCAGGGATTATGGCTTCGATCTCTGCCAAAATCTAATAAAGGTATTTGCTGCTTCTTGGCTTAGCATACCTCATATAGGAGTTCAAGAGCAAAGAATGGTTGGCCCAGAGTCAGAAAAATGTGTCCTGGTGGGGTGAAATGTTTTCCTGTTTAATGTTACTTTGTGAACAAGCACAATCGATCTAGTACAAAGTAGGGTTCATATTCATATCACATCAACATGTTCTCTTCCTGAATATGCATTTAACTTGCCACTGGATGTTAAACAGCAATCCATCTTAAAAGGAGTTATATGCCTTGAAAGACAAGTGATAACCATTTTATAATGTTTTTGCAGAAACTTCTCAAAAAGTCACAATTTTAGTAGCACATTTGATTTTCAATTTCTGCTTATAATCCTAAAATGATAATTGTATAGAAACTTGATCCTGCCAAAATGATCAGCAAGACAGAATTTTGTCCACATTGTTTAAATCTAGGTGTAGTTCAGGACCATTGGTGATCCTCTAGTTCATAATATTATAGAGCTGTTAACACACTTATCTGACAAAGGATTTGTTTAAACTGATTTGAATGAATCAGAACCATCAAACCTACTATATCAAAGATTATTGAGTCATACACAATAGAGATCATTGACATTATGAACAGTTACCAAACATATATATACATAGTTTTAAACTAATGTCTAATTTCAATCTCAGAATACCATTTTAATCTCTTTTTAGGTTGGGTTATCAAGTCTTTTCAATACAGCTAAGTTGTATGATTCATCATATCATTCAATAGGTATTCATGTCAGACCTATCTGTCTGGTAAGTAGTTAATACATGGGATTGGAACCAAGCTTGCACAGATATATATATAAATATAAAAATAAGGAGATGTGGTATGATTGCCAATTAGACAACTATCCAACAGAGTATATGGTAACATATGATGAGAGGAAGATCATTATTATACCCCCACTCTAAAAGTATGGGCTATATTGTAATCACCTTGTCCATTCATCCATCTATGTCTGTTCATTTGTCCAACGAATACTTTTGTCACACTTTTCTCAGAAACTGCTGAACAGAATGACTTAATTTTGATCAGCCTCTGACAGTTATATGTAAACACCTTCAATTCTATCAGATCATTGTCTTTAAAAGAGAGGCGAAGGATACCAAAGGGACATTCAAACTTGTAAGTCAAAAATAAACTGACAAAGCCAAGGCAAAAAAAGAAAAAGACAAACAACAGTACACAAAACACAACATAGAAAACAAAAGACTGAGCAACACGAACCCCACCGAAAACTTGGGGTGACGGGATTGTAGTTACGACAATTGGAACATATCCGTTGTCATCTGTGAAACAGATATTCCGTAACAGTCAACCAACTGGTGATGGTGTCCGTAAAATTTACGAAGGGACGATTTCAACTTCACCACTTGGAACTCTAGGTTTAATAGCTTCCTTGTGAGCAGCAACCCTCTATCAAGGAAATCATGATAGGAAATACAAGCCCTGGGATATCGTATCAACTGGGAGATATATACTCTGTATGCAGGCGCTGCTGGAATGTTGCTACATAGAAATGGAAAGTTCACAATTGGGAAGCTGAAATCATCTCTTTTGTCGTAAAGTTTTGTTTTCAACTGACCATCATTGTCAATTTGTAGATGCAAGTCAAGATATGGGACCAACTTAACTGTATCTGTTGTTAAACTGCTTTTAAAAACAAAGTAGAGCAGCAAAGAAGAGGGGAGGACTTGAAAATAGTTTTAAAAAAAATGCAAACACATACCTGAATGCCTGTTTTGTTTAAAAAGATCAGAAAATTAATATATAAGCGAGATGCATTTAACCTCATTCTTTATTAAGAGGTAGAAAACTAATATGGATTCTTAATGTTACTGCTGTTTGATGTGGTGCATATTAATTTTTCTTGTAAAAAAAATCATTTCCAAAAGTTTACACTAAAAGTGCAATTTTGGCAAACCCTTTTTTCCTGATATTAAAAACAAATAACTTTTCCTCCAAACCAACACATTAAAAATTATATATAGCGAAAACCAATATTCCACAGAGTACTCTTCTACTATAGTTTTACGATAAAAGAGCACACAAAGTCCGATTTTGATGATCCATTGTTACGTGTGCATTGTTAACGTTCTGAATTTGAAGTCGTATTCTAACAAGCACATCGCACTTAAGACCATTTCGCTATTTTCTATGCAGAAATCTAAATATGAGAAAACATAAGATATTAAGTATTGTATACCCTAATTCGTTTAAGATAGGTATAAAATCAAAATAATGGTGTTAAGCAGCAAACAAATGCATTCATTTCAGATTTATTGAAAAATCTACGGTTTTGTGGAACATTTCGCAGTTTAAACCAGTCCCATTCAATTCTACAGATAAAAATAATTAAAGTTCTGACTGTCATGTACAGAGATTGTTCTTATACAAAAAGCGCGTTCCATTTGAGATTGGTATCACTAAAAATTCAAGTAGTATTTTACGTCTATTTTTATCATGATTACGTCATGTATTTTTACCTTTAAAAAGCAAAAAAGAATCTAGAATTGATCATGTCAATTTCGAGCATTTCTGGAAAGCATGGTGCTAACATGGATAATAAGTACTATTTGATGTGAAATGACCAGCCTTGGCTTAATGTATTAACATGCTTTGAATGCATTTGTATTTAGTCTTTTTTTTACCAAAACATGTTACTCATATACATACGTTTGTGATCACCCCACTATGAAGAGAATAAAAACTGTTTGAGAAATAGTTATATTGACATTTACTTCTCATAAACTTTCATTTAAAAGCAAGACACTATAAAAACTATAAGACAAATAAAACGGTGTAATAGCTATAGTATACACGTATTGACTGGTTATGGTGTAATATTATACATGTATTGACTGGTTATGAGGGCAATAGCAAGTTTGTTGTCCCTGAGATATCAACTATTTCTCGAGGCCGGGGAATTTGGATTTCTTTGAAAATTCTGTTTTTCGGTATAGTAAACACTTTATGACTGGTTATGGGGATTATGACAGTAAATAATAAACTGTTTGCTTTGAAAGATCAGAGAATTAATAAATAAAGATGCATGACTTAATCTCGTTTTTATGTAAGATGTAGAAAACAGACGAAAATTCTTAACTTGGGGCATAATCTTGTACAGATTTAAAATATATTTCTTTATTATGAAGATCGTTCAATTTTTTGACAAGCTCATATATCTTAGAATTGCCTTAAATTTACCGAGCGACACCCGATAGTCAAAAGGGAGCTCTATACAATATACATGTAACAGACTTGTTAGTCTGAGATTGATTACTTGAATGATAAACTAGAACAAATGAGTACGTTTAAACGATATACCGACGAGACGGCAACCAAACGACACAAATAACTAGAAGACATCTAGAGTGCAACATTGCAATATATGAAGCTCTACATCACACCGAAACAAACAACGTGAAACCAATAACAGGAATTTTCAACTAATGCGGAAATAATTGTTTACACTTTTTTTCATACAATTTTACAACAATTGCAGGAAATACTTGAACTTTGACAGTTGTTTGATTCAAACAAAGAAAACCACATGACAGAAAAACAATAGAAATCACGATATAGTACCTATAGACGGAAATATTAAATGCATGACAAAAATAGATACCAATAATAATACATAAAGGTCAAGTATTGAGTACAGATGTATTAACTTAAACTTTTAACAATAAAGAAACTGAAGCTTTAATTTCCTATCTGAAATAATGAAGAGCGTATTATGGTTGAAACATTCTTTTGTATGCCCACCTACCATAGAACAGGGTAGGGGGGCTTATATTTTCTGTTCTGTTAGTCAGTCCCATATTTGGTTAAGGTTTTGGTTTAGATAGTTTATCATGAAGGGCTGGTCTCATCAACATTAAATTATATTAAGGACAATTGTTCATTATAATGTGAACTTTTCATATTATATAGCAGATTACGGTTTTGACAACGATTACACGGTTTACAAATTGCGGGGCTTTCAAATAAAGGAAATATAAACCAGTAATAATTTAATTTTGGCAGCTTGAGTTAACATACATGCATACATAAATTAGTATAATATACACATAAAGATATTCATATAATACGATACAAAAGACTACACATACAAATATCAAACTAAATGAAGCGGGTCCAAATGGAATAATTGTAAAGTTTTTCGGTTTCCATCGGGCCAGGGTTCGAACTCACTACCCCTCTCCATTCTCGCAGAAAATAACAATCTTTAATTCTGAATTGACTGTTGGCGAATACAAGCCATGAAAGTTATCTTTATGGTTCCTATACATGGATTCTGGGTTTTTATAAAGAAAACTATCGATATACTGTCCACGTTTTGTTTCGTCAATTTCTTGAAGTATATCAAACGATGATAATTATAAACGACAAAGATAAACAATTATAGTAATGTAAAAAAGAAAGATATTGCTTAATTCATGAAAAAAAAAGAAAAAAAAACAATTCAAAGTGCACATGTTTTCTTCATACAAAATAAACATTAAGATAATCTTTTTTTAGTTTTCATTTTTTGACTTTTTTGAAATTCCATGTAGTTAGTAACCACTTTTTTTAAGAATCTGGTCGATTTAGAATTTCACATATTGGATAGAATTCTGTCTACTGTTGAAGACCTTTTGTCGAACTCTGAATGTCTTTTGTGTCGATGGGCTGATGTCTCATTTACGCATACCACTATTCTTCTTTTATTCATATAAAAATATAAAAAATAAATAAAACACTTTCATAGTTTTCATTTAAGAAAACATCCACAAAGAGTATAATATCATGTCACAGTTAAAACCAAGTAGCCTCACTAGGAGTAGCTTTGTTGATTTCATAGATTGCAATACAGTGATTTGATAGCAATGTCAGTAGAATGTAGTTCTTTAACGGTGCTATCATTTCTGTATTACAGAATCTGGAGCTTTAGACCTCACAGTTGTTTTTATACCCTCATTAATCATTTTCTTTATAATAGCATGAAAAGTAAAAATTTGTTCTCAGTCAGTCCTCCTGAATTACACGCTGTTCATATTATTACTACAATATGGATAAATTTCTTGCACGTAAGTTGTATACGTATTAAAATTCAATTCTGGACCTAAAAAAAGTTAACACAATCTTGAAATGTCCGTAAAGGAATAATATACAGAATATTTTGACTGACATTGCTTAACTAAGGCTTGTTCAATGTAAAAACAAATTGGACCCAACTTTTATGCTTTTAAACAAGCAAGTCGAATTCAGAATTTTTCGCCAAACATCTTCCATCTTATTAAAGCTGTCAGTAATTATCAGAGGACATGATTTTCCATTTCTAACAGATGTACAATGTAGTAAACTTTTTTGTTAGTTAGAGACTTATAAGACTTAAAATCAGTGTTTAAAGGATATTTGCCATGTTAAATCTACTTGTTTTCATGACAATGCTGCAAGTAAGTCATGTTCAAACAATTGCAGATAAACATTGTATTCCAACAAGGCGATAACTCATCCATTCAAATCACATTTCTTCCAGCCAAAATATTTTTATTCCATTTTGCCTCAATTAATCTTCTAAAATGATGTATAGTTTAAGTATGATGCAATTACGTCAAAAAATCCTGCAGAGTCCCTACCACCTGCATATATTCATAACCACCCGAACTTTCTAGATGTAAAAAATCAATTGATACTAGTTCGAACGGAGATGTAGTCTTTATGGACTGCATTGGTGCAATTTCCTTTTTCCTTGGTATTCTATCTT